TGGGGTTGAAAACAAGCCTGTTGCACTAAAGAAAAAGGACTTTGTTTGGCCTGAAGCAATCTCATTAAAATGAGATCTTTTATTCTGCTGAGATACCAATCCACAAGATCCAAAGATACTTTTTAGAGGTCATGGCAGGTGAGCCCTGAGCAAACTTAGTAGGAAGTGTGGGGTTTCGTCATAATCATGTGTCCACTTTCAAATACAATTGGGTGTCATTTCTTCACTAGCAAGATTCAGATATTTTTCTTTTAACAAAAGAAAACCACACATCACAAACATTCCTTCAATAGAACCTTTGAGCGTGGATGGCTGCAAGATAACTAGAAGCCACAGCACTTGTGAACGATAGGGGGTATCAAATAAGCACTAGGATATACAGCCACATTAAAACTGATTACTTGTGTTCTATTCAAGATACTTTGTTCACGTCGAGAATTTAGAGTAAGTGAGTATTTTACGCTGCTTTTAGCAATATTCCAGCAATATCACGGTGGGCACACCAGAAATGGGCTTCACATATTGTACCCCTGTGGGTAGCGTTTGTTTGGTGGATGTGTGATTACATAACACACCGTAGCTGGCATGTATATCTGTAGCTGACACCTGATAGCAGGAACTGAAACACTCCAGGCATGCAAAGTTATTTCTGTACTCTGTAAACATGAAGTGCAGCGTGTAATGAGTCATTTACTAATGTTATCTAATGACATTTTATCAGTCATGATTACACAATGCCATTTAGAAAGTAGTCAAATGTAACATATGTTATATTTGGGATTACACTTTCTTAGTAAAGAACAGATTTTAGTACTTTGTTGGGTGGGGTCCTATCCGGGATTCGAACCCACACACTCAGAGTCTGGCACCTAATCGCCAGCACACAAAGTCAACCACCTAACCTACTCAGCCACCGCGACTTCCACAATAATGGAAGTCAGACAACTGGTAGTCAAGACTGCAGACTTTGTGTATAGAATCGTTACTTTATTAAGAAAGTGTAATCCCAAATATAACATTTGTTACATTTAATCAGTCATTCATACAGAATAATTGGTCAGTACAAATGTGATGGTAGCCCAAACACCACAGACATTAACCTCCCTGTGCACAGAACAGGATGTTTCATGCAAACAGTAACAAATAAAAAGACAACTGCAGTGCAGAATTTCTGTAAGCAGTTAGAACTATCAAAATGGTTTGTTTGGTTTGGCTTGTTGGTTAACTCCACACTCAGGAATATTCCAGCTATGTTCGGGGGTCGGTTAATAATCGAGTCTGTATCAAACAATCCAGTGATCAACATCATGAGCATAGATCTACATAACTGGGATACGATTACGTGTTAACCAAGTCAACGAGCTTAACCACCTGATCCTAATAGTCACCTCTTACGACATGCATGGGTACTGAAGACTAATTCTATCAAAATGGAAATTATGGTTCAGAGTAGGTCCCAAGAAAAAAAATTTCAATTGTAAAGGTGGTTGAAATTAGTTCAATAGTAATTGGAGGGTAGCATTAAAACTCACTCACTTTTTTCAAAGAAACACTGAAACTTAACATTTCCTGAGCAGCCATTGAATCTCAACATGTTTACACTTGGACGAAAGCTATTCCACATTGTGTTAAATCTCTAATGATTTGTTCAAATATTCAAATACAACATCACAACAACTCCAAGTCTAATTCACCATGGTCTTGTAAAGATCATATGTACCCAAACTTCACACAAGTCACGGTAAGATAATTCCAAATACATCACACAGTGACTGTTGCCAGTTGCAGTACGAAAATCATTAACACATCTACCAAGCCCTCGACAAATGAGGTTAAAAGTTTTCACTCAGAACAAGATGACAGTCAGTCATGATAACCTTCCTTCGGAAGACAAGTACATAATCAACACTTCATCTAGATCACCTGCTTTCAAATTTAAATCTGTAATTTCAAATATTCATAAAATTTGAAAAAAATCCTGATTTTCAATCCTAAATTTCAAGCATGAAGAAAGACATAAGACCATCGACAACCACCCTTACGGACATATTCGTGCCAACTGCATCATCAGCAATGCATTAAATTCAGTTTTGTCATGCTTCGTAATTTTGGGGAAGAGGCAAACTTTTGAAGCCTCCCCATTTCACGGAGAGCTAGCGGTGCAGTACGTGTGATAACATCACGTCCACAGATGCTAACTGTTCTATGACAAATATTCCCCTTGAGCACCAGTCATATTGAATATTGATTATGACCTCAGACAAATGAACAATCCCATGGGGTCTGTGGGTCTGTCCATCAGAAGAAAGTGGTGCTCTCACCCTGAGTAATTGTGAAGCTGGGGCCATACACTTCAGATCTGGTTATATTTGTTTTCGACAATACTTGGCGAGATATCCACATTTTGAAAGTAGATTGATGATGGGGAGTACATCACTTGACTGATATTGACGAGGTAACCTACCATATGATTTAATATGGCATATTATTGAAGGATGTGATGGAATTGGTTTAAGTTCTGACATTTAGAAGAGGGTTTACAACATACGATCCTTGAATTTGTTTGAAAAAGTATCTGGGGATCAAAATGAACAAATATCATTTTAACAAACATGATTAACATAAATTAACAATTTTTCTTTTTCCAATTTGTGTACCAAAATATATTCAGAGCCAAAAGAGAAATCTTATTTCTTGTTTCATGTCTATTATGTCTCAAACCAATTCACATAAAAAAGTCAGTAGTAGCATTCGCACATCACGCTGAAGACCTGGGTTCAATTACTCACATGGGTACAATGTGAAAAAACCATTTTTGATATTGCTGGAATATTGCAAAAAGTGCTCACGTACTCACTCAGATAAAAATATTTCTCCTCGTTAAGAAATAACACGTGAATGACAGACTGAATATATGGATGTTAGAAGTAAATATAGACCTGGATGGTCTTCAATTATAAGTCCCATTCAAAGGTCAATAATGGCTTAATTCAAGCAAAATTAAGCCAAGCTTTCATTACATCTATATTCTATATAATATTTTAAAAATCACACTATCAAAACTGCACTGCAACACTATACCAAGGGAGATAACTTTGTGACTACTCCTACCATTACCTACTTGATATCACATTCACTCAAACAAATTTATCAATGATAAAAGAAAACACAAAGCACATGATCACACAAATCTCAGATCTCCTTGTATCAAGGTTCAAAGATTGAGAAAGCATCCTTGAAGGTCATCTCTTGGACTTTTCCCAGAATAAGTAATGGCACCAATTTGGCTCTCTTTCCTGTGAAGCATCACTAAAGAATTCATAGATGTATGCAAATGTTGAGAGGTCTGTCTCCCTCCCACCAGTTCCAGAACCCAGCGATGTGGTGGTAAACAATTAGCTCCACCAGTGTTTACGCTAACAACATTAACTAACTTGTAGAAACCGACAAAGTGGGTCAAAGATCGCTGCGGAGGGTAATCATAGTAATTAACTTTCACAGCTCAAATACAGATCCATAATTGCAGCAATGCTGACCTAACCTAGCCGCATGGAATTGGCATCAATTATATTTGCCAGACCCAGCGCCACTCGGGTCCATCCACGGTTATTTCTATAAGTATCTTACAGAAGCAGTGATGTGTAATACGTAACAGGGATCACAAGACATCAATGCTGGGATAATGACAAGCTTACAGCATTCTAATGTCATTTAGTCGTGTTTACACAGTAACATTTGTATGTTCCAATTTCAACCAATGTACACTGAGCCTCATACTTTTCAAAAGAAGATCTTACAGCTATGGTTATTGAGTGATGTTGTCAGCATGATAAGCGAGTGAGTGAGTTTAGTTTTACGCCGCACTCAGCAATATTCCAGCTATATGGTGGCGGTTTGTAAATTATCGAGTCTGGACCAGACAATCCAGTGATCAACAGCATGAGCATCGATCTGCGCAATTGGGAACCGATGACATGTGTCAACCAAGTCAGTAAGCCTGACCACCCGATCCCGTTAGTAGCCTCTTACGACAAGCATGGGTTACTGAAGATCTATATTCTAACCCGGACCTTCACGGGTAGCATGATAAGTCAAGAAAATATATGAATATGAATATATACTTTATGATGCTGTAGCAGATTTGTTAAACAAGACGGATAATTACCTCAGACCAGAGCCTACTAGTAATCTAAACTTCATATACTGAAGAGAATAACTTAGGGAACATAACTATTTTCATGATGTTTGCTTAGTCTTTACTCAAAAATATATCCTCTAAAAAATTTATGATCCTTAACTTTTGGGGTTTAGTATATAAAGCCTAGATATTGACCAATCAAGAGTAAGCCTGATTATCTGTACCGGCATGTTATTCCTCATTACCTGATGCATAGCATCAACAGTTTCCTAGTACACATGCAGAAACAGGTATTTCTCACGAATAGCTGCAAAATTGCTGATGCAGCATTAAACAATTGTCACTCACTCACTCAGTAACAAGTTATCATGTAAGTGATGTTTGCATTTGTTAATTATATTTTCAGATTCATATTTCTTCTTAAGCAATTATAGAACAAGATTAGCTTTAAATAACATTTCTTATTGTTTTACAGATTATAATTACTGACTGGTGTGGGAAGATGTCAATTAATCTGTATAATTATGATTTGTTTACTTCTTATATTTATATTTTGAATATTAATTTGATTAATAACAGTTGATTTAAATTGATTCACATTTTCAATATAAATGTTATTTAACTATTGATCTATGCTCAGACTTATCAAGCTCCATCCCTTTAACCAGAATGACACAAACAAAATAGTTACATGATATTAAATTGGTATAGCTAACTTTACACATCTTATAATTCTTTAGGACCCAATAGTGAATTTCCCTTCATTTCAATTTAAAATTGTCATCCTATCGCAGTTTCCTTGACCTACTCCTGGTGCCATGAACACTCAGCAGCCCCCATAATAATACTGACTTAATAATACCTTAAAAACGTGAAATTCTCATTTTCACTCCATCTCCTTGGGATTTTGGCTCAAATTAATTTCCACATCACTTCTCCACTGCACCAACAAGAAATTATTTCCATCCAATTACAGAATTTTCACTTTTTTCCCCATCCAGCATGCCCAGATTCTTCAATATGGCACAAAACAAATCTTCTGAGCACTTGGCAATTCGATCCTGACAATTCCTCTTCTGGCAGAATTTCAACAGACTCCTTTTCCAATGAAATCTTGTTTTTTCTTCGGAATTCCTTCGTTTTTTAAGCACTCAATCCTCTTTTCATAACAATTGTGTTTACTTGCCTTAGACAGATATTCTCTCAGCACATCAAAATTCTGTCAAGGAAGATTCTACAAATTCACCATAAATTTGACAATCTCACCACAAGTCAGTCAATCGACACAGAAAGGGGGTAAAAACGCGAAAATCCACACGGGAACCGGTTCCTGTTACTCCTTCGAACTCTCGCAGCCTAAAACAAACCCTGCACAAATGATGCACTGTTTTCTCAACTCTTCGCAATCAATGCATTCCAGCATCTTCCGCAAGCCTCCGTCAAAACTAATAAAACCATCACAACTTTGTACAATCAGAAACAATCCATGAATAATGCTACAATTTAAAGTGTTTCTTTGTCCTAGCTGTTCAGGATCATCATCACTTTTTCTTCAGTTTCTGGCTGTCTGCACAGAGGTTAAGGAAGACACTATCAGGCAATAACATATTATTGATCCATCGCCTGTTAGTTATAACACAATCCTTTAAAACATATTTCTTTTACTGCTCCTGCCACCAAATTTGAGATGAACCAGAAAACTCCAAATATGTCCAAGCTCTCTCTGTGAATAATATTCATCCAACTCAATGTCCGCTTCCTTTCAGAACTTCAAACATATACTCATCGATTGTGTGACCAATGTGTCAGATATATCTTTCAGCAGCAGTAAAGATGTCATATAAATGGCCACAGAGCTGACATTAAAATCCAACACCTAATAAATCTTTCAAAAGATGTGTAACATTTCAGAAAAAGAAGAAAAACTTTGACAGGCTTTCTCTGCTGTACTTGAAAGCCGTCATTTCAGTAAAAAGCACTTTGTGGTCTCTTGATGTCTGGAGTCAAGTATGACAACACTTATCAGACAGGAAGGTACGGACTGGTCCTATCTATTTGCATCAATAGACTTGTTCTCTGTCTCCTATAATTCACCTGACAGTTTCATAGTTGGTTGAACACAGTGTCCGGTCACTCAATGGCCAAGGTCAGTCACGCCACATGTGACAAAAAATATGTCTATTCATCAATTTACATTAGAAAACACACCAAAAAAGTTACACACCTGCAGTTTGAATGCCTTTGACAATTGGCATCAACTTATTTCTACTTCTGCAACAGCCAGATGTGTGTAACAATGTCATTTGATACAACTAGTTTTTAGGAAAACAACATGTAACTCAATCTGAGGGTAGTCCCAAGCTTCTCAAGGTTGTATTCAAAAGTTTCTTCTTTCACAGCACTGATGATGTTTTCATTCCACTGTATGCACAAGGTTACTGTACTTCGTCTTTGAAGACTCACTTTTCAAAGCACATGCGTTGAAAAAACACAGACTTCTTAATGCAAATTCACTCTACGTGGATGCTCAAAAAAAGACTTCAACCAAGATGTATTTATACAGCATAAAAAATTCTCCAGAAGTGTCAGTATTGATGGATGCTGCATTTGTGAATTATCACACATTCGTGGCTCGTGTTATCACAGACAATACCACTACACATCACAGAATGTAAATTTGAGACTGCCACGATGACGGCCCACTGTAATATGCTGAGGCAAGGAGAATAGAGGCAAGGACTACACTAACTGAATAGGACCTATCTCAAGTACCTATTGTGTAAGTATGAGATGTGCAGACCACATTCTCTACATCTTTTGGATATTTGTCATCCAAACAACAGCACCTCGCTTATGTGGATATAACTGTGTTGAGAAAATAGTGTCAAAATGTTGAAGACCCAGAACAAACAAGCACAATACCAGTCGCACCAAAAGGCACTTCATAAGCCTTTACCAAGTGAAGAATTTGATCACAAATCAAATGAAGCAATTTCAGTAAGAACAATAATATCCTCTGGCCTTGGAGGAAAATTAATGTTAGCTTTATAACCGACTAGGATATAACTGAAGTTATACCAAACTGTTTGTCCTCTTATAACAAGTGATTCAGCCTATCATCAAGAATTTAATATCAGTCTATATAATTTCCAATATTAATGCTGTTGGTTATTATGGAACCAATTAACTAATACTGTAGACACTTAAACACAAATTGCCTCGATGCCTTGACTTCTAAACTAGCATTCTTAAGTCACAATCTGAAAACTGATTCCGATGCACTCCCGTTGTGACTATCAAAGTCAGCAGCCTGAATGAATTATTCAAAGAGGTAATAAACTCCTTATTTTCCTCAGAGCCTCATATGTCTGTGACAGTTCACAGGTTTGTCATCCTAGAAGGGGCTCGGACACAGCTGTGATATGCAAGGTAGGTTGTTTTTCTGCATACACGAGTCAACAGTTTTAAATGTAGGCACCGTACTGGTGATATTGGCAATTTCACAACAACGTCCTTAGTGGAATAATTCCTCTCCTGGAACTGGTGCCTCAGTGGAACAGATCTTAGGACCATATGGTGATGGGAACGATCAGCTGAGATGTTTCCACTTGACCGAAGATTTTAATCCGTTTAATCTTCCATGACTGCACTCACATCTGTTTTTGTGTCCTTGTCAAACTTTGAAACAACAAAGTTGGGTTAGAAGCTTGAAAGTCGTTGGATCTGACTCCCTGCATTAATGAGCTATGTTATTTTTACCTGACTCCAACGAACCAATAAATCACATCCCAATGAGAATCTACCTGGGGTCCTAACGAGCTAGCTTGTTAAAGGTGCGTCTGTTAGTGCTCATCAGCATTGGATAACACAGGTCAGTTTGAAAACTGACCTGTCATCTCAGCCCAACTGGTTATTCAGCTCACCCGAGTGTAACATAACCTATGACCTTCACGGATGTCCAGCAGCTGAAATACCTCCACAGGAAGACAAGCAACGATTCACAATATTCTCCACGGCCCCAAGTCCACTTAATTAGCTGTTAATTCCAAAACAGACGCACTTAATTCTAAAATATGTGTGAGTTCTGAGACACCGTGTCAGGGTACAAGCCACGTTGTCTCTGAACCTATTGCAAATACAGTCGCACCGCTTCTAATTATAGCCTGGCTCACTGAAGCCTACAGCCAATGCCCTCACCAAGACATGTTGTAGTGGCTTTCATCAGTGTTTACCTACTGGTATATAAACATATCATATTGTACTCTGGAGTGATACCTACTGTAACGCTACATCGGATACAGGGTCTGGGCTGTTTACTAAGCATATTTCCTATACTCATATCGCACCATAGACTAACACATAGTGTCTGAAAATATGTAATATTGATAGAAACAAAGAACTTCATCTAAATTACAAATGAGAACAAGCGAGGTGGAAGATTGAGAAGCTAAACCTGAGGAGAATCCAGACTTACGCATTACGGTAAACATTACGGTAAAGACTGGGTAGAACAGCTTAGTATGGATCAGGGACTGCAAGACAGACTAACTGCAGAGTTACTGTATTATATTCAGTGATCTGAGGTTTACCCAGGAACTCTGACCTGCATGAAGACTAATAGTTTTCTGTTATCATACAAAAGAATTCTCACTTAAACATATAAATCTGTGAAGTACAGTAAGCTAAGCTTCTTTTTTTATTTCATATGGTTTCTATCATATCGAAAGCAGCTGTCACTCTGTGTGGTGTAAAAGATGATGTGAAAAGTATGTATTTCTCAGACCTTAATTGCTTAACTTTACTCTTTGCTGAAATAGTTAAAAATGATAATTACAGTCTCAGACTTTCAGAATCCCAGACTTCTTCAGCGTGTGAAGAACTGCTCCTACAGAGACAGGAGTTACAATGCTTGTCGAAGCCACAACAAACAATGGCCATAGTTAGAAGTGAGTGAGTGTGTGAGTGAGTTTAGTTTGACGCCACTTTTAGCAATATTCCAGCAATATGACAGTGGGGACACCAGAAATGGGATTTACACATTGTACCCATGTGGGGAATCGAACCCGGGTCTTTAACATGACGACGAACATTTTATCTACTGGGCTACCCCGCTGCCTCAGTTAGAGATGATGTCATAGTTCAAGTCAGTTACAGCGATAGTTAAAAAAAGATACCAAAAAAATGATTACAAAACCACCAAAGTGTACCCACTAAAGGCCAGGAGGTTAAAAAACATGAAACTATGTATGTTATTTGAATTCCCTAAAGGAAATGAGTACAAACAAGTGTTTGCTGTGCATCCACTGCACGTTCAGTGATAACTGGATCAGCATAAATCCATAGTGGATAGTTTTAAAACCAAGTGTAAAAGATTTCAAGTGACATTTTGCCAATATTGCTCAATATCAGTCTCTGCAAAAGTCTAGACATTAATCCCTGGTGACCTTGGTATTGCAGCATACATGAACTTTTTTTTGTTCTAAGCTGTGAAATACTGCAATAACAGGAATTATAAGTGAACTTTTTCTTGGTACTAGTCCCATTTCTGGTGTCCCCCGGCGTGATATTGCTGGAATGTTGCTAAAAGCGGCGTAAAACCAAACTCACTCACTCACTCACTTGGTACTAGTGGCACATGTAAATACTACTTTCATCTTCTGGGATGTCATGATTTTGTCATGTAACATGACATATAGAACAAATAATTATCATTAAGATGACGTCTTGCAGATATACTTATAAACAAATGTTCATCACCACTTGATTCCTTCATATTACAAATATGAAAGAAAAAGTAAGAATCAAGTGATCACCACTTGATTCCTTCATATTACAAATATGAAAGAAAAAGTAAGAATCAAGTGGTCTGTAACTTGTTTGGAACACTATCTCATGTTTATTGTTTTCATTTAAAAGTATGATCAACTCTTCACTTGACTTGTAGCTTGACAAAGTTTACATTCGGTATGCATCGCATTCTTAAACAAATGTGAAATGATTAAAGTAGCTGATCAGCCTAATGTATATTTATACTGTCAGTGAAGTGTTTGAAAACAATGTACAGTCGCCTCCCTTACCAATGTCAGGATCTGCAAATGATGGATTCCAATTGCAGATTCATACCAATCATGATTCTTGTTTGCTTTTAAGATGTTTATTGATTTCACTGAAGTTTGAATGTCTTTTACCTGGACTTACTTGAAAAGTAAGCTGATCTCCAAGTTCCTTCCACTCACTCACTCACTCACTCACTCACTCAGATTTATTACCATGTCCTCTTCATTACTGCAAACAATCTTTACACTTGCTTGCTCATTCCGGAGCTGGAATCAGCACTTGACGATGTTCTGCGAGTCAGTGATGTTTACGTAGTGGCTGAGTCAATATGTCCACTAACAAGGACGAGCATATCATGATGTGACTTCAGCAAGATTTATCACCAGGCCGGGAACAGAGCATGAGTGCCAATCATTTCTCATATGGGTTGAATTTTCCTCCTTGCATATAAAAACAATGCTGTTCCTGAACTGCCTAATGTTAACCCTGAAACGAATGTTGCCGGTTTCTTTCAATGTCCATCATCTTTTTGACAAAAGGATGATTTTCCTGAATTGCCTAATGTTAACCCTGACAAAATAGTTGTCAATTTCTTTCAATGTCCATAATCATTTTGCTTATTTATTGTTTTTACTCAACAGCTGAAATATTCCATCTATATCCACACAGTTTCTTCAAAATTAGGCATTGGCAGATAAACAGGTGGTTGATAGCATGACAGGACCTGGTGGTCAGACTGTCTGACTTGTTTGACACTTGTTATCGTATCCCAATTGCGTAGATCGATGCTCATGCTGTTGATCAGTGGATTGTTGAGTCCATACTTGATTTTGTACAGTCACCAAATAGATTGAATATTGACAAGTAAAACGTTAAATTTCAGCATTAAGCTGAGGGTATCCTGGATAAGAAGACACTTCCACAGCAATCTATGTGTATCCAAGTATAGCTATGTGACTAAATAGACAGCATGGTCAATTGCTTTTTATTGGATCCCAATAGCAGAGATCCATCCCCATGATGACAATCACAGGATTTCCTGGTTCAGACAATTATTTCGAGACTGCTGTTACACTGCTTTCAACTATAAAATAACCGCTGGGATCTTTTTGTATCAACACTCACGAAGAGAGCCAGTTTGTGAGTGAGTGAGTAAAGCCCAACTCCACTCATCTTCCACCTAATCACCAAGATGTGTGACTAAACAAATTAGTCCAATATTCTCCACACACATCAAGTTACTTCAGAACCTGTACGTTGGAAGGAAACTTCGCCCAAAACCCTAGACTTTATCACAATAAAACAGTCATCTTGAAGACAAGGCCTGCTGTTACAAAGGTTGGGAGACACTTCAGCTCCTTGTTAGACAGATAGTATTGATTGGTAGCTTGAAACTACCATGTCTGGCTAGAAATACCTTCTAAACAACCATCATGTGCTCACTGATGAATAAAAGTGTTGCAGCCTTCACAGTTTCAATGATGGGGACAGTGCAGCCAATACTCCAACTGTGTTCAACAGATTGGTCGGTACTCACCACAACAATTCCACATGCCAGGATGGGTGATACCAATGCACTATTTCTTAGTATTAGTGAGTAAGTGGGTTGGGTTTTACGCCAACTTTTAGCAATATTCCAGCGATATCACGGCAGGGACACCAGAAATGGGCCTCACACAATGTGCCCATGTGGGGAATCGAACCCAGGCCCCGATTTCTCGAAACAAACTTAAGTCTGAGTTTTGACTTTAGTTAAGAGTTTTTACTCAAATTTGAGACAATGCAGGGAAATGCTTTTTCCAGAATAAACTGAAATCGATATTAAACTCAAACTTAGTAGACAATTTGAGTTTGGTGGATAGATTACTTAAGTTCTTTGGGCTTTTTTTATTTTACAAATGCACTTGAGTTAAAAATTCAGCTGTTTACTAATTGTCAAACTCAGTTTGAAATTTGAGTAAAAACTTAAGTTTGTTTCGAGAAATCAGAGCCAGGTCTTCGCATGACAACTGAACGCTTTAACAACCAGCTACACCACCTCTCACACAAGTCAGAACCTATCCTAGTATTTATCCTAAGTTAGGATATCCTAACGCTAGGATACTTTGCGAGAATAAGGTAGGACAGCTATCCTAGACCCTAGGATCAAAGTTAAGATATCCGAGGGCTAGGATCCTTTCGAGAATAGGGGCCCAGCCTAACCCATCATCATGTCTGAGGTATTATGTTTCAGTGGAGTAGTGAAAAATTTTGCTCAAATTTAATCTAAAACATGCTTAATCCCAAGTTGGGTGACAAAATAGCTGCCATAAAATATCTCATTCCTATGATGGAATTTAAACCACAGAGGTTCTGATCCGAGGTTTGATAACTTGTTCGCATGAGCAAAGACGTTAACCTCGTCACAAAAGTTGACAGGAAAAGGATGTCATCTGTGAGATAACTGCTACACGGTGCGACAGTTTTTTCCCCATTATTTGTTCTTTGAGAAACAGAACTGATCATTTGAACTTGGTTCCATGTATGACAAAACATAGCAAACTTCATATGAAGTCATTCTGAAAGAGCTAAACCTAATTTAAAGTTTTAAGCCTTAGAATCAAAACAATCAGTAACATCTCCTCTATCAGTCTGAAACAATAAGGGGCAGTGGGGTAGCTTAGTAGTTAAAGTGTCCGCTCGTCACACTGAAGACCTGGGTTCGATTCCCCACATGGGTACAATGTGTGAAGCCCATTTCTGGTGTCACCCGCTATAATACTGCTGGAATATTGCTAAAAGCAGCGTAAAAATAAACTCACTCACTCACTCACTCACTCACTGAAACAATAATTCCAGAAGTACAGCCTTGTACACTATTTAAATTTAAATTTCCATTAAGTGAAACATTAACATATCCTAAATTAGGACACCAGGAGAATTGATGACATTTAAAATATAGGAACGTTTATTGCCCTGCTTTAATGAATCTATTATATTTATCATGCTTTTGGCAATAAGTAAAAACATTTTCAACAAATCTTACACATAAGCCTCAATTTTAAGACAAA